TTAACGTATTTTACTGTGCTTTAATTTCTAAAACATTTACTTCTTAATAGATTTATATTTCTATATTTCAAATTTAAAATTAATTCCCTCTGCTACTAATTTTTAGGTTAGAATTCATGGGACTAGAAGAATTAGTAAAGTTTCATATCCAAAAATTATAATAAGTGTAAAATAAGTTTCAATAAGTATATAACATAATTGTTAAATAAACTTTGAAGCTTTACATTGCTGGTCATTCACTCAATAAATAATTTTTGTACCCTTACTATGTACACCAAAAAAAAAAAGCCCCAGCCCACAGACCTGTACATTTATACAGATAAGCAGATTCTCTCCCTAGGTCACTATATTACTGCACTAGATGCACACATATCCCCTTTACTTAATCACTAACTCTACACTGCCTTTCATAAGGCCCCACCCACCTTATCCACTGTGAAAGGGCAGGAAGGAATCAAATGACCAGAAGGAATGTAGTCAAAGGTGCCCAGGTTAGGATCGAAGACAGCCAGAGAGCCAATCAGACTGTGACAAATTCCAGGTGCCTGCATGGGGGGGAAGAGTCTCTAACCTTAATAAGGAGACAGGCACAAGGGCTCAGGGGTACCCACTTTTCCAGTGTTCCCTATTCCTCAGGGTAGCTGTCTATCTTTTCCTCCCCCTCTTTTTCAAACAAATCATCTTCCTTTATTTTAAACTTTATTCCTTTAATTTGTTACTGGTGCTGAGTTTGTGAAACTGGTTAGCTACTTGTTCTGGCCAAGCAGCGGTGTGTACCCCTGATGCAACACAACTCTCATGTTTGAGTAATTTTAAAACACTTTAATGAATGTGAAAACTAAGGTTTATGTCAGGAGAATTTAAGTATTTTATCTATTTTTGAGTTTATTAGATTAAGTTGAAATTAACAAACGTGTTTGCCTGCATATTTCTTTGGGACACAGCCTATGGTAAGTAATGTCATAACTGATGCAAAAGTTTTGGTGTAGAAACCAGAGAGAAATAGTAGGTCAGCTGCAGTATTTATTTATTTTTTAACCCTTAGGACTTAGAATTTTCTGATTGTGATGAGCCAGTGACAGACATCTGAGTATTTGGAAATCACAGCAATTGCTGTTTTTCCATTTGCCTGTGAAACAAAGACACAGGTGATTCATCCTCCTGCTGTGCTTCTCAGTGCTGTCTTCATAGTAGGGATGTGGTCATGGTTAGGTCGAGACAGGCCAGTCCAGAATGTTAATCACAGGGGAATCCCTGATGGAATTATGAATATACAGAGTCCACCATAAATGTGTACAAAGAAAAAGAAAAAGTTGCATAAACATTTGAATACTAAATTTATTGAGACATCATGAGGTTAATACAAGTTACCTTTGGCCTCTATAATTACAAGAGATGGTCAAAGTGGTGGCCATTAGCTTCCAGATGTTCATTAGTATGGCAAACTGCTGAAGTGTGTATACATTTTTTAGTGTATGTGCTGCCGAAGCGAGCACAGGTACAATTTTTTTTTTTTTTTTGGTACCAGGGATCGAACTCGGGTCTTTGCGCTTGCGCAGCAGGCGGCGAAACCACTGAGCTAAATCCCCGGC